GTGAAATGTGCGATACAGCTTACATGGCACAGTGAATCCCCGTCACAGAATTCAAGTATTCTTCAGAAAGTAAGTTTACAAACTTAAAGATCATTCAGACTAATAGGAGTAGGCTAGAAATAATTGAAATTCAGTGTGGAAATTTAATATGTGATTTTACATTTCGACTATAGATGCACTTTAAAGCAGTTTTCACAGAGGAACAAAAACATTCTAAATTGTGTTTTATAATGAACCCTTTGCTGTGAATTATGTGTAGGAGTGTAATTACTGTGTTATAATTCCTGAATATGGCTTTTTTTTTTTTTTTCTTGATTTCTTGCAGACCAAAGAGTTGAATAGTTTTCTCCCCAGCCATGGCTCTTGCTGTAGTTTCAGCCTCTTGTCAAATGCTCAGAGGGACTACTGGAATTTTCACTGGTCATTTGGCCTCATTGCTGTCGAGAGCTCCTGCTTTGTGCTCTTGTACCCTGAATAGGTGGGTGAGCTGTCTGCAAGCACTATTAAATATTGTCTGAAAAGCGATGTGATGGCAGTTCTGTTGTTCTAGGATAGAGATGCTCAGTAAACTCTCAAACAGTAGATTTTGTTGCTGTTGTACAACACAGGCCTTTTCGTAGGTAGCCCTACACCGTGTAGTTCAGAAAGGCAGCACAGTTGTTTCTGTTGCATTTGGGTCTGGATTCCTATACTAACTGAGAACACAAATGTTAAATGATTTTATGTTATTGTGATAGGAAAAATGCAGTGATTTTTATTTTATTTTTTTTTTTTTGTTTCTGGAAAACAAATTTTAATTCCTGTGGATTTATTTGATGATAGAAGGAAAATGACATCGCAAAGGAAGACAGATCACTTGGAGAGGACAGCAAACACATTTAGGCAGGAGGTGAGTAGACATCTTCATAGATCATAAAATTCTGCTTTGCTTAGTTGTCCTTTTTAACTTCATTTCTTTCATATTTACATCCATATATTTTTACTTTTGTTTGAGCAGCGATGTATTGAATTTCCAGCCGGGTTCTTGTAAGTGTGTGACTCCATCGGTCCACTGGTTAGATTTCCACTCAGTAGTTTAGATCAATGCCCTTATCACAAGACCATTACAGTGTTGTCATTCTCTCACACCTGTACCTGTTTTACTGTTTAATCTATGCTATTTAAAATATCAGGGGAGCAGAATACCATCATAGTATTAAGCCAAAACTAGACATTTTGGTGGGGAGAGCTTATTTCTCAAGATCACAAGAAGTTTAAGAAAGCTGGGATGTTATTAAGTTTTCCAGAAACCTCACAAAACTGCAACACTAGTTTAGGACAGAGTTGGATTTTAATGCATTATTTTAACAAAATTTGCATATATTTTCCTTAATGCATATAGCATAGTTAGGTGTCTGTGCATTAAAGGAATGCTTCATTTAAAATGGAGAAATAATCTTTACAATGCATAAAAAGAGCAGAGCCCACCTACTTAGTAGCTACATTTTTTCACTTGGTAGCCTCTTTCCAGTATGGTCAGTAGTACCGCACTGACACCAGAAAAGTTTACATATATATAGTCAGTACTTTATTGACACTGCCCTAAACATGTCCACAGATATACAGTGAGTACTGCACTGGCACTACCATAAATGTGCACAGATATATAATCTCTACTGTAGTGACACCGCCATAAACATGTCCACAGATATACAATGAGTACCGTACTGGCTCTGCCTTAAACATGTCCACAGATATACAATGAGTACCGTACTGGCTCTGCCCTAAACATGTCCACAGATATACAGTGAGTACCGCACTGGCCCTGCCCTAAACGTGCACAGATAAATAATCACTACTGTAGTGACACCGCCATAAACATGTCCACAGATATACAGTGAGTACCGCACTGGCCCTGCCCTAAACGTGCACAGATAAATAATCACTACTGTAGTGACACCGCCATAAACATGTCCACAGATATACAGTGAGTACCGCACTTGCACTACCATAAACGTGCACAGATATATAATCTCTACTGTAGTGACACCGCCATAAACATGTCCACAGATATACAGTGAGTACCGCACTGGCACTACCATAAACGTGCACAGATATATAATCTCTACTGTAGTGACACCGCCATAAACATGTCCACAGATATACAGTGAGTACCGCACTGGCACTACCATAAACGTGCACAGATATATAATCTCTACTGTAGTGACACCGCCATAAACATGTCCACAGATATACAGTGAGTACCGCACTGGCACTACCATAAACGTGCACAGATATATAATCTCTACTGTAGCGACACCGCCATAAACATGTCCACAGATATACAGTGAGTACCGCACTGGCACTACCATAAACGTGCACAGATATATGATCTCTACTGTAGTGACACCGCCATAAACATGTCCACAGATATACAGTGAGTACCGCACTTGCACTACCATAAACGTGCACAGATATATAATCTCTACTGTAGTGACACCGCCATAAACGTGTCCACAGATATACAGTAAGTACCATACTGTCATAAACAAGTCCATTCCTCTGTAGAAAGTAGCTTTAAAAGTATACTCCAGCAAAAACTTCTCATCTTAAAGGATACGTTCATCTTTTTACAAAAATAATATATACACATTTTTTTGCTCGTAAAAAAAATGTGCATTTATTATTTTTTGTTTCTGGAGCCTCTAAAGCATTGTATCTGCTGATCACTGGTGCCATGCAGGTCTCCTGCAGACCTGTCAGTATATGTGCATGCCTTTATGGGATGTACGGGCAAACTGATGTACTGACAGGAAGAATCAATGAACTATCACCATGCTCCACAGCGCTGCGGAGGTTCATTAGGAACTACAAGCTGACAGCCGCAAAGGCTGTCGCAACTTGTAGTTCATTCACAGAACACCATGAATGAATGACGTGGCTTGTTTTTTTAAAATTGTGACAGCTAGTGTGGAGAAAATCCCCTACTAGGCTGTCACAGTGGGGAGCTGGGGTCAGTCCAATCATAACATGTTACACCCTGAATATGGGTGGAGCATGTTATGAAAGGTGAACTTATTTTTTAAGGATGTCATAGATGAGTCGAAAACTGGACAAAAGTTCTTGTTGATCATCAGATCATTTGTCTTTTTGCATCATTATTTTGCCAGCTGCAACACGCAATTTTTATGCCGCAATCGAAAGTGCCTGATCCAACATGCTGGATTTTTTTTTTTAGGAAAACTATACAAATGATGGCAAAATGTGCCATTTTCGTTTTTTCAATCGACAGAATTTTTCAACTCATCATTTTTTCTTACTTTTAGATACAGTATGGATAGAGTAAAACTGCTTCAGTCCCACTGCTTTCTTTTTTTTCATTTCCTTTTCTTGAGATGCAAATGAAAGTAAAAGGAAATCTCTCCAAAGTCAACAGAACTCCCATCTTAAAAATTTGTTGCAGGTGTTCTATGCGGTGATTTTTCCTTACCACTTGTTTACCCTAGGTTCACATCTGTGTGGGTGGTGCCGCTGCGGATCCGCACGAAAATCCGTACTTGGAACCGAGGTTCCTGTGCGGACTGTGTTTTCCAAAGTAGTGCAGGGACTTCTTTCCCTGCGTGTCACGGGCACGGGAGTCCATTCAAATGAATGCGCTCTTGTGCCCGAGCAAAACGCAGCCCGCATGGCCGCATAGGTGTGAACCGGAGGTGAGTGACATCTCTAACATTTTCTGCCTAAGTAACCGTCTCAGTAACGTGATAAAAAGAGGAGACGTGCAGAAAAAAAAATTGACCAAGGGTCAAAATAAACAAAAAAAAATTGCCTTTACAAACACTTTATTTGTTTTTACATTTTTTTTTTTTTTAGTTAGAAGAGATGGTGGCATTTTTTTAAATTCAGTATTCCCAGTGATAATTTTGAATAACTATTGTGAAAAATTATTATATATTCTTTTGTGTATAGAAATCACTATAACTTTCTATTCAAGCAGTTTATGAAAGTGCCTGTTCTGCATTACGTAATGTGGTCCAGGGTTTGGTATCTGTCACTGAAGGTCCTGTTACAGTGTTTTGTGTTCTTTTGTTACACTCTGACCTGTGTATAGATTTGACTCTGTGCAGTATAAATAAATCTCTGGCATTTGCTATTATTACATATAGCAGCGGTACCCATACCTAAAGGGTTATATAATTCTACACAGCTGTGCTTGATTTGTGCTTTGTGTAGTTTAGACCTGATGGTGATTGTTCCTAGGAACTGAATGTTTTCACTCATGTGTGATGAAATCAGTGTGTTAGTTTGCGTGTTCCATGTGCTGACAGTCCGTGAAAGAAGACACACACTCAGCCATTCCCCTGACATATAATGCAAACACATTTACAAAACACCTACATGTTTTTCTGCTTTTAGTATGATTATTTCAAGGTATTGTTATGCTGAATTCAACATCCACTGTTCTGTATACATGGCAGCAGCACAGTCTTGGCATGACAGTATTGTTCGTGGTTTTATTGTTTCAGTTTGTGATTTATTTATTTTTTTATCACCAACATACCTTTCTGATGAACTTCTAGAGCACACATTTGGGGAGGCTTTTAATAAAATATAAAGTTATCAGTATACTTATTAGCTCATAAACTACTTATATTACTGAAGCTTAAAGTTATGTTAAAGAAAGATTTATTTTTTTTTTAAATGACAAACATACAAACATCATACCTACCCACTCTGTGTAATGGTTTTGCACAGAGCAGCCTTGATCCTCCTCTTCTTGGGTCCCCCCCCCCCCCCCCCGAAAACACAAGGTATTGTATTTCTGTGCATTTTGGGACAGAAAGCTCTCTTCTACCTACCCTGTGCCTTGTTACACCAACAACCTCACGGTCATTGTCATAAACAGGATGTCAGGATTAAAGTGTACAGGTAGAAAGTATGGCCCTTCTGTACAGATCCACTAATGGATTATTTTAATGTTTGAAGCTTTTATATCCTAGACCTTTTGTTTTAGCATTCATTACTTCATCTTGCAGGTTATTTCTCCAGCAACAGTTTGTGGGATTACCAATGAATCTGCTACTGTGAAAAGAGTGCGGCTATCTGTAGGAAACAGTGAATTTACTTTTAAAGCAGGACAGTGGTAAGAATACTTTACTTTTTATTATCTATTTTTTTTAAAAGGAACCTGTCGTCTATCTTAACCTCTTGCTGTCTGGCTGTTTAGGTGCACTCTCTAGAAAGTGCGTGAGCAACACAATGTGAGCGCACTGTTTACTGAATAATGCAGCTTACTGATTTAATGTACAGAGCCTATGAGAGTGACTCTGTACTACGTTTTTCCTGTGATCAGTCACAGCAATCATACATTGTTTACACAAGGTGTAGTTAGCAGCAGCTTCCACTTTCATCCCACACAGTGATTGCTGTGTGAGATGAAAAGGAAATTCCCCATTCCAGACAGCTAACAGGAAAATGCAATAAAAAATGTAACCACTTCTATAAACACTGACATATACCCCTCTACCGTCATCACCCTTCTACAGTATATGTCACTCCCATCCTGTCCCTGATCTGACCTGTATAATAACCTATTAACTGCCTTATGCTGTACATCTGTACATTAACCCATTTATCTCATTCATTCAAAAATGATGAAAGGCTCTTGACATATATCAAGAGCGACTTCAGGAACCTAATATGTACAGTCTCGAGGAATGAAGGCAAAGGACAGACATGACTGAAACCTTTAAATACATCAAGGGGGTGAATAAGGTTCAGGAGGACCATGTTTTCAATATGAAACCAAGATCACGAACACGGGGACATGACCTGAAACTAACTGGAGGAAAGTTTAAAACTAAACTTAGAAAGTATTATATTACTGAAAGCGTAGTTGATGCTTGGAATAGACTTCCAGCAAAGGTAGTGAGTCAGTCAACAGTAAGTGGTTTCACACATGCTTGGGACAAAGCTAGATCTGTACTCAGTTAAAAAAGGTAACAAAAAAAAACAAACAAAATAAAAGTACAAAACATGTATAAAGAAAATTAAAAATAAGCTCTTTTTTCTGCCATCACTTTTCTGTAATTTTATGTTTGTCTCCTTCCTCGTATTGTATTTGACCTGTATATTAATGCCCTTTCACCTCCTGTTCACTCTTTGTATGACCTGTACATTTGTATCTATTGCTTCATGGTTTAATCCCCCCAATACTGGCATATTTCTTCATTTCCAAAAAGCTGTGGCAAAAATGTAGATGACCTTGGGGGTGTCTGCTCTGCAGGATTCAGGGGGTGTTTGTACTGTCCTGGCATTTTATTTCTTATGTTTTAAAATAGAAAGTAAGGGAAACAGGTTTTTTCCTTTTTATATAATAATATAAAAAAAAATCTCAGTAGCTATTAAATTCAGTACTGTCAAAAGAAAGCTCTATCTGCCCCCCCCCCCCCCAAAAGATATGAAATAATTGGGGTACAGTTTTGCACGACCTAGATATTGTCAGTCAGTGTATTACAATACTGAATACTGTCCTTGACGGGGTTTTAACATGCTGGTCTTCAGTTGGTTGAGATTATAGCTTTTACATTAAAACGCTTCTGTGTTCAGCATTTCAGTACTTAATAGATTCTGGAAGGATAAATCATCAACCTGCTTCTATCAGGTACTTCAACAGTGGTATTTCAGTACGTTTCAATATCCATTTACTTGCTACTCCCCCTTTTTTTTTTTTCCTGTTAGAATTTAATTTTATTGAAAGGAACCTTCCTTCTGACAATAATCCAGGCTAGAAAGAATTGACAGAATGAGAAAAGGGGAGCTGCTATTCCTGACTCTTTGAATATGCTTGCAATGGGTCCGTCATCTGTATTCTTCCCTTAATACTTTATGAATAACTGGCCTAGTACATGTATGTTTATACCAGCTTTCAGACACCCAATATGCAATTTCTTGCTCCAGATCAGTGAAGTGGTGAAGAAAAGGATAAAAATGACCACCCTGTAAACAGTACTGACTTTTAAAAATGAGGTATCAACAGCAGCTTCAATTTTTATCCATTTTTCAAAGTGAATAAAGATTGAAATATGGGAGCTCCAGTCTTTTTTTACAGTCATTTAAAGTGTTCACCTTTACAGAAAAAAATGTAAAGGTGAACAAACACTGGACACCCTACCCAACCCCTGCCAAACTGACCTTCGGGGTCTCTGAGCTGTCAGCATCCTCAAAGCTGCTCCAGCAGTCTGGGGATTTGAAATCCCTGCCCATCTCCTACTTCTCTGTCAGCATTTCTCGGACGAACCAGATGGATTCTGATTGGTCAAGGTTACCAGGTGTAAAGGTGATCTAACCCTTTAAGGCAGACATTATATCTGTAGAACTCCTGGAACCTAGTGCCAATTTAGAGAATCAACAACCCCGTGTGTGTTCATATTTGTGCAGTATGTGAAGTTTCCTGTTTTCTTTTGGTTTTCCATTTCTGAGTCACGAAATGATCAAAACTCCAGGGGAAGTAGATGGAAATGACCACAATTCAAGCTTAACGGAGTTTGCAATTAGGTTCTACTGTAGTTTCAATTGCTTGATTACTTAAAAACAAGAAATAGTGCAGACTATGGGTGGAAAATTGCTTTTTGTAGTTCATTTTCTTTTTTTTATTGACTTCCGAAATTGCCAAACATACACTCACTGGCCACTTTATTATTTACACCTTGCTAGTACCGGGCTGGACCCCCTTTTGCCTTCAGAACTGCCTTAATTCTTCGTGGCATAGATTCAACAGGGTGTTAGAAACATTTCTCAGAGATTTTGGTCCATATCTGCCCATTCTCCTCTGACCTCAACAAGGCATTTTTATCCACACAACTGACGCTCACTGGATATTTTCTCTTTTTTGGACCATTCTCTGTGAACCCTAGAGATGGCTGTGTGTGAAAATCCCAGTAGATCAGCAGTAAAGATTCAGACCAGCCTGTCTGGCACTAACAACCATGCCACATTCAAAGTCACTTAAATTCCCTTTCTTCCCCATTGTGATGCTCAGTTTGAACTTCAGCAAGTTGTCTTCACCACATCTACATGCCTAAATGTGTTGAGTTGCTGCCATGTGATTGGCTGATTAACAATTTGTGTTACCAAGCAATTGAACAGGTGTACCTAATAAAGTGGCCCGTGAGTGTATGCCCATCTTTGCTGCCTTTGGAGACCACACAGGTTTTTACAGTCCCTGAGATACAGCATAATTCAAAAATCAAATAAAAATTAAGTATACCTATATGGCATCTCTTCCTCTACATGTAAACGTTATAAACAAATATACAAAAGGTTGCATCTCCTGATGTATTTCCAACATAAATGTGCTGTATTTCTATTATTCAGCCCCCAGATGGTGCTGTACATATAGCAAGTGTCGGATTAACAGTCCTGTACCGACATAGTTATTGAGTTTGTGTTTGAACTCATTTTCATATTCAGGACATGGGCACATTTCAACAGACTTATTTTTGTCATAATCTGAGGTTTTTCAGTGTAAATCTATATGCTGTTACAGCTTTGTCAAAGCTAAATGCGAAGCCTACCTTTTAGACCATATTTCATGTTACACCCATATTTAACAACTGGCCCTCCTGAGGATTTACCCCCTTCCTGACCAGGCCATTTTTTGCATTAAGGCGCTGCGGTACTTTAACTGACAATTGCACGGTCATGCAACGCTGCACCCAAATTAAATGTACGTCCTTTTTTTTTTTCCCACAAATAGAGCTTTCTTTCGGTGGTATTTGATCACCTGTACGCTTTTTTATTTTTTGTACTATAAACAAAATGCACCTTTTCAAGCAGAATTTCTGAAATGCATGGCAAAGTGAGGATTTTCTGTACAGATTGCCATGCGTTCAGAAACACACAGATGTAAATAGAGCCTCTTTGTTCTGTGTAAATGCACCAATTTCAGTTTCAGGCCCCATTCATACCAAGGGAGCGCATGTTTTTTGGCTTGATTTTCTAGTGAGACACATAGGGCAGTCGGTTGATTTCAATGGGCTGCGCTACACGTTGCAAAGTAGCTCATGAGACATTTTGGCTTGATGCAAGTTGCACATTTTTTACTGTACGTTTTGATACTTTGTCACCCGTTTTTTCATGTGGCAAAATGTTTGTTTCTGTGTTTGGTGTGCCGTTAACAATTAATGACACAAAGTGCAACTAGTTAATTTTAGGTGTATAAATGTGGCCATACACTATACAATTTGACTGTACAATCTCCTTTTAGATTTACTAAAACTATATAATGACACAGCATCTATCCAATCACTCTATATATCCAATCAAGCAGGCCCTTGCATTACTTCAGGGGTGTCTCATAGGCTGCAGGCAGCCTGAGTCCGTCTGGAGGGATGCTGGGGTAGCCAGGCAAATGTACGCGGGGAGAGATCCCCTGGGTTGTTGTTAAAAAAAAACAGTTGATGGGTGAAGGGTATGTACTAATAAGGTCAGTGCAGGATGTGTGTGATAATGAGATCAGCTGGTAATATGCTTCCGGGGTCATACTGGCTCCTCTGTCTACATTCCAGGAATTGAAAAAGCTTTCTAAGAAATTTATTAAAAGGCTAATACAGGCCATACATGGGTCAAATTCCGAACAAATATTCTTTAGAAAATCGTGCCACCATTGATTTTCGAAATTCAACCAGCCAAGCCTTTAATTTCACCTCATGTTGCTACAAAAAGAATGTTTGTGGCCAAGAATTTTCTTTTCTTTCCAGGTCCACTGTTCATGCTCGTTTCTTTTTCGACTATATTTCTCGCACAATTCTTCCATCATTGATTAGAAAGTCATTCGTTTTTTCAAAAAATTTCCAACATGGCCGATCATTCAGATTCGATGGTTGCTCGAAAATTGGCCATTTCTGTGGTCCACTAATGATGCAAAATTCGAAAACGAAAATTCTAAGAAAAGATTTTCAAAGAAATTTCTTTCGGAATTTAACCCATGTATGGCCTGCTGGAGGTAAGGCCTTGCTCTCCAGATCAAAGCGAGCTTGAATATTTTTTTAAGCTGAGGTACGTTGGTATACTGGTGCGTAGGGGAGCTGGATCTTGGTAAAGAAATAAAAAGTGAACTTAGCCTTTAAGGAATAACATGAA